ATTAAAGGTCTGGGCCTCTCTGGTGGCACAGTAGGTTGAGCACAGCACTGTGAAGCTGTCCGCAGCCTCTGCAGAGAGGGTTCAATTCCCAGCCAGCCAGGGAGATATCCACATGGAGCAGCAGACCTCTCCTGCCTCGTCAACTGCTCCCTCAGCAGTGTTTTCAATGTGGTCTGCCTGTTCTGCTCCCTGATCTGTCTCTGGTGAATTCTGTCACCCTCCTGCGTCCCTGGCCTCACCCCAGTTCTTGTGTAAAAAAATAAATCTTTAAAAGAAATTAACAGTGTAAGAGTGTAAGAAAATAAATATTTAAAAAAAATATTTAAGTGCAAGGAGTCAGTCTAAGACAGACCACCAGCCTTTGCAGATTCTTGCATTTGGGAGGGCGCCCTGGCCAGGTAGTAGGTTTGTTAGGCATTAAAGTCCTTCTGGCCCCAGTCTTATGTCCAGATTCCGATGGTTCTGCCCAGCTGGAAGGCCTGGTGCAGCTGCCACCTATGGGGCTCTGGGAACTTCTCCCCTTACCCTTAATCCCTATGTCAATACTGAAAATCAAAAAGTTGATTTGGGGCCTCCTGGTGGCGCAGCGGTTGGCGCTGGGTTGCGAAGCTGCCCGCGGCCTCTGCGGCGCCGGTTCGATCCCCGGCTGCTCCCCAGCCACCGGAGGAGGGTCCCACATGGCACGCAGACCTCTCCTGCCGCCCGCTGCTCCCCTCAGCAGTGTACTTCGGTCCTTCTGCCTGCTCTGCTCCCCGCTCTGGCTCTGGTGAATTCTCTCACCCTCCCGCACTTCTGACTGTACCCAGTGCATGTATAAACAAAAAAAACAAAACCAGCAAACAAATAAATAAAGCATGCCTCTATAAAAAAAAAAAAAAAAAAAAAAAAGTTGATTTGGTCCAGGATCACCAGGACTTTAACTTCAGAGCAAGAGCACAGGGTGTGAGGCCTGAGGGATCCAGAGGGCATCTCTTTGGCTCAGGAAGGGGATGAAGAGAGAGCACACCAGGTTTCAGCTCCCAGGTATGGAGAGGGGGGAAGGGACCACCCTCCAGGCTACAATGGGTGAGTGGTCTCACCTGGGCAGGAGGGGCCCCCCTTGGCATGCTTGGGACACCTGGCCCATGGAGGATGGGGAGACACATTCCCTTTTAGGGAGAAGTGAGTCAGCAGTCATGGCCCCTTCTCCTGGCTGATCTCCTTGCAGCCTCCTCAGACTCCAGGCTCCTCCTACTTCCTGTTTTCTGTGCTCTAGAACATGGAGTCCAAGGCCTGGGCCACCGCCGGGTGTCCAGGGCCTGAGGGCTGTGAGCTGAGAATGGACTTGGACTGGGCTGTGAGGTCCCAGCGCGGGGATAGTCTCTGGAATCCCGGGTCAGGGCCCAGGGCTGCCCCCTCTAGGCAAAGGAGACATTGTGCTCCCCCTCTCTGGGGTCCTTGATTCTGTCACCCCAATATAAGGGCACTTTGCTCTGGAAGGGGGAACCCTAAATTACCCCCTTTATCTTCTTTCCCTTTCTTCCCTGTGTGTTTGAATTATACCTTATGTCTCTGCATAGAGAAGGCTTTACACTTAAGGACAGTTTCCCAGCTGAGCGACCTCTGTGTAGTTACAGCCCAACTGACAACAGAGACTTCCCCGGCCCAGCCAGAGTCCCTGGTCCTCTCCCCACACAGACCATCCCTCCACCCAGGGGCCCACTAAGCTGATCCTTCCCTGCCCCCGCTTTGGCTCCTCCTCCCCCCAACTCCTGTTGGCCTCCCTCCCCTAAAGCCCCTATTTCCTCCGTCTCCTCACTCCTCCAGGAGCCTCCCCTCTTGCCAGCCCATGAATGACCCTGGGGGTCTCTCCCCTGACCATTTTCCAGCCCATCCTAGGGATGGAGGGATTAGTGTTGATTCCCTGGAGAAGGAGCCTCCATCCCTGGAGTCAGCAGCAGGAACAAGGGACAGGGACTCTGGGGTCAGGGTCTCATCCCAGGAGACTGAAGCACCTGGTATGTTTTGTGGGACCCACCCTGGTCTTTAGATCCAGCAGTTACAGCCTGGGGATCTGCTCCTGCCTGAATGAAAAGTCTGTGGTGATTAGTTGACAGGCACCATGACGTCAGCGTGTGTTAGGAAACGGGTCAGACACAGGACCTGAAGCTGTGTGGGGCTCCACCTCATGTGCACAGCCTGTCCTTCTGGGAGACCCTGAGAACTGGAGATCACAGGGTTCTCGCCCTCTGTCCTCAGCCCTGTGGCCACACGGGGCGCTGCGGCGCTGTCCTAGTCTGGCAGCCAGGGGAGAGGCTGGGTGTGTGTGACTCAGGCTGAGAGGGTGAACTGGGGCTGAGCATCCCTGGGGGAGCGGGTGAGATGCCCTGTGAGCAGCCCTGGCACCAGGCTGGGGTGGTAGGAGTGGAGGAGAGGAGAGGAGGCTCTGGAGCTGCCCGTGTCTGAGGCGCCATCTTCTGTCCCCACAGCCTCTCTCTGCAGCCCCTGCATGACCACACGTGGAAATGCAAAGCAGGTAATTTTCTCTTCCACAGCCTGTTCCTTTCTGAGGGCTACATTTTAATGATTTTATTTTAAAATAATTTGCTGTGAGCTGCCCGCAGCCTCTGCAGCGCCGACTGGATCGCGGCTGGCAGGCGAGAGTCCCACATGGCGAGGCAGACCTCTCTCTCTCGCCCGCTGCTCCCCTCAGCAGTGTATTTCAGTCAGTCTGCCTATTCTGCTCCCCCACTCTGTCTCTGGTGAATCCTCTCACCCTCCCATGCATCAGGCCTGTACCCCGGTTCTTGTGTAAATGAATAAATATTTTTTAAATAATATAAAATAATTTATGTAAATATTGGTACAGGATTCCTATGTATCCCACATCCCTTTCTCTGTTAACAACAATATCTCTATCTTATCTGTACAGCTAATGGAGCAATAGTCACATGTTATGAATAATCCCCATACTTGACTTGGGTGTCATTAGTGTTTCTTTTGACTTCTCCAGGCTCCCATCCTGATGTAAACCTAAGTCCCAGTCGTATCTCCTGAGACTCCTCTGACTGAGTCAGTCTCTCAGACTCTCCTTGGTTTTGATGGTCTTGACATTCAGGGGAGCACTGCTCTGAGGTGTGTTGTAGAAGGCCCTCAAGTTGAGTTTGGTTGACTGGGGTGATGGGGTTGAGGGAAAAATCAGAAACATGAAGTGCCCTTCTCAGCACAGCGCCCTGGAAAGTCACCTGCACCTGCTCTCCTCACTGATGTCAC